TAACCTGAAAGATTTTTTTTTTCAAAATCTTTGGCAAATTAAAATGTAAAAAAAAAACCCAAACATGTTATGGTCCAGTCAGATTAATGGGGATTTAGGGTTGTTTTACGAAACTAAAGAAACCTTTAAAAATATTTTTGCATCCAAAAATTAAACCATTTGGTGACATCAACATGAATTCAAAATCATTTGAACTTGCTACATCTGCGTCTTTCTTCGGAAGGACGGGAAGGGGAATTCAGCTCTAGCTATAAACACAGTTCTTTGCTTATGACCTCTAACACTTTGTAAATGTAAACTTAATAGAAAGTGTCACCCAGAACTCTATTATGGGATCTCCTCAGTTAATATTAGCACCTTACTCCTAACACCCAGGCCTTCCACTTTACTCTACGACCATAGCAGAAACATGGATGTGCCCTGAAGCCTGAGGTAACATCTGAGAGAAGCGCATTGTCTTTTTCCTCTTCTCCACTATATGTCCTTGTATCTTGCCAATATGCTCCCAAGGTCCTCTAGGGCAGTAGCCCACATGACTTCTGACACTTCTACGCCTCCCTCCAATTTGTTCTCCCGGAGATCAATAGGATTGCTTCCCTCCTCGTTCAGGTAGCTCTTTCTGCTTGAGTGATCCATACAGAAAGCTGTGTTGATTCTTCCTGAGTCCCATGGAGGGGAAGTCTTTTCAGCACTGTTCTTTCTCTGCTTGACTTAAACAGAGATGGGGAAACAGATCAGCACAATTTCCTGGCTCTCTCATAAACAGGAGAGCAAAGAAAGCATACTCAGGACCTTGTGCTAAAATGAAGTGCCACAGTAGAGGGTACAAACCTCAGCCGCAGGCCGGCAAAAGGCCCTGATTAAATCAATCAACTTGCTGAAGATAAGAGTGGCAGAATTCACCCCGCTATGAATTAGGGATGTAGTAATAGTGTAGTCAATTAACTGATAAGCTTTTGCTTATCCTTCCCCCACCAGAAAATTTGTTAGCAGGCTGGCCAGCAGCCCGGCTCAGTCCTGGCTTTTGCTGGGTCTGGGACCTTCCCCTTCTGTGGCTCTGCATTTGAAGTATATTGGGAACCAGGCGCGCAGGCAATTCAGCTCAGTTCTGACTCCCACTGGGTCAGGGAGCTCAGACCCCACCCTGCGCTGCTGCCTCTGTATCAGAGGCAGCAGCACAGAGTGACAGGCAGCCAGTCTGCCAGATCTCTTTACAGCATGGGCATCAGACCAGTGGTCCATCTACTCCAGTATCCTGTCCAACAGCGCTCAGTGCCACATTTTTTTTTTCAGAGCAAGCTGCCAAAAAAAACCAACCCTCAAAGCCTAAGGCAAACAGTGAAGGAATAACCTTTGCACCGAGGAATTTATATGCTGGAGCACACATGAGTCTATATCTTCCAAAACGTATTTCAACTCTGTCTTTTATCATGTGGCTGGGCATGTGTTCAAGTCTATTTTTAGCTTATGGTCTTGATGTAAACTGCCTTATTTCATCCCCACAATTTTGATGGTTCATTACTGATGAATAATTCCTTGATAACCATGTGACTTTTTGATATCTTTGCTCCTCGTCCAACACCTGCTTGCCAGAAAAAAGTATCATGTGCTAATCTGGGCAGTAATTAGAACACAATTTTGTGTATTTACCAGAAACGTAACTAGTTCTAGCTGAGTGCCTGTTAACTAAACGTAGAATTTTGTCCCATTAATGTATGTATGGGTTGAACCTCTCTGGTCTGGCAACGTCCATAGTCCGGAAGGGCCACGGATGTTGCTGGACCAGAGAGCCCCAGCAGCTGAGAGTGGGGGCCAGCTGGTAGCCCAGCCGGGACCAGGAACAGAGCCAGGGGCCCAGTGATCTGGAAGCTAAGAGCTAGGAGGCTGCAACCCCCAAGAGAGATCCCAAAGGCTGGCAGCGACCTCCACTAGTCCAGCAAACTCCCTCGTTCAGGACTCATCAGGCTTTGATGGTGCTGGATCAGGGCAATCCAACATGTACTGTAACTCTATGAATCCAGGATAGAGAGGTCTATATGGTGTTACGTCTCTGGGATAAGAGCACAATCGACATAAGTTGATGCTATTATAACTTGCTCTGTTGTTCTCTGTAACAGTTTCATAACAGCCTCGGTCCCCACACCCTCTTCTAGTAATAGCTTGCAATTTTAGCACAGTCCTCCGTGTACATCAGAAACGAATCCTGCCATGGATGGGTTTGCAGGCAGTGCTCCCGGTAAGCTGGGCACTTGTGAGACCAGTCAGGAGAGATTGAAATGCCACCCTCGTGATTAGCACAGTGCCCACAGCAGGGCTGTGTGTTTCCACTGGTGATGCACATAAATGCATTCCGCACATGGATGGAAAAGACTAGAGGGAACATTGTTTATGAGCCTTGACAATTCCAGTTCTCTCTCAGCATCTGAACTTCTCTGGAGTAGTCTCTTTCAGACTCACTTTGTTCTTACGACCTCCTAAGTGGAAGAGCACAAATACAATGGGCAGTCACTGTATTGTTCCTTCCACCAGGTATTACAACAAGCTTGTGAGAAGCTTATTGGAATGTGATGAAGAGACCGTCAGCACCATCAAAGACAGCCTGATGGAGAAGATAGGACCCAACATGGCTAGCCTCTTCCATCTGCTGCAAACAGATCACTGCGCTCAAACGCATCCCAGAGCAGACTTCAACAGGCGGCGTATTGTTGAGCCTCAAAAGCTAAAAATCTATTTCAGGAACCTCCGAGGTGAGGGGTCTGTTCCATCCCATGTGAAGCGTACCTCTTCAGAAAGCTCATAATTCCTGCGGGGAGAGAGAATGGGTGTGTAGGGGAACCTAAGCACTACCAAAGTAGAAGCCTCTTTTTCTAGAAAGAGTTAATACACCCATCCAAGTGTACTGTAGGCTGAGTTTAACACCAATTAGAAACTGGTTTTTAGATTTAGTCGTTCATATTTTCTATCCCTGTCAAACCAATTTGCATGGAACTAGGCTTCTGTGTTCAATGTCCCAGCTTTCTGCCTTTGAAATGTCACCTTCATCTCTCTCCTCTTCCCCGCCAAAAAAAAAAAAAAAAAGAAAGAAAATCCCCCAGAAATCTAGGCTTTTACACTTCCATCCTTCAGCAGACACCAAATTATCCATGAACTGTAGCTCAAACACCCATGCAGTTTGAAACCAACTCAAATAGCTTAACCTTATTAATAGTATGAGGCTGGTAGTGATGATCGCTTTTAATGGATCTATCCTAAAGATATCAGTGGAATTTGTGTTATGAATCTGTGCTGGCCATGGACGAATATGAATGTCATGTTTGGATTCTTGGTCTCCGTGTCATACAGTCTTAATCGTCTGTCATAAAACTCCCTTAACCAGTTAATCTACTACAGTCAGGTCCAGCTCCCACTAAACATGGAGTACTCTGTTTAGAACTGCCCTGCCTCTCAGCACAAAAATGGCTAGCAACTCAAGCCAAGAGCAATTTGCACTGTATAAATGGCAGCACAAGCTAAAAGACCATGCGGTGAAAGCAGATTAAGTTGATCAGTCTGTGCATTGGTTTAAAAACCCCAGCATCTTCGTGTACTGTATCTAACTGTTAAAAGCTTTAAAAGAACCTTTAACAAAACTGTCTTAAAACTAGAGTATTAAAGGTCTAGCTCTAACTGTGGTATAGTTTAAAAATCCATCATGTACTGTACATAAATTCCAGAAGAGTCTGCTTAAAAGAAGCGGAATATAATAATTTTATTGCATATAAATTTAGTTTTTTACCTTAGCTTTATTTTTTCCCCCGTGGAAACTGTATCTATCATGTTCAAAAGTACGCATTCCTCACAGTGACCTTTCTAATATAAGAGAGATTGTTTCAACATATATTAGTTCTTTTGCCTGGCCCAGTTCTGGTGAGTAAGCTATTCATGCTCACAGATAGGTTGGATTGTGACTGCCCAAAGCTACGTTTGGGGGGTTACTATGGTACTTAACTGAAAGCCAAGGCAGGAGTACTGCTAAAAAGCTAATCTGGGAATTGTCAAATGGCTGACAGAACTCTATTCAATAACATGGCTGCAGCCTCCAGAAGGCTTATTTGAGGCATGGCATGGAAAACACAGCCACGTTTGGTGTGCCTTAAGGTAGCTGAGCAATCCAAAAACAAGACTCCATTTCAAAAACACGTCACTGTGCCTGTTTCAAGCTACTTGAAACACCTGGCCGGCAAGCCTTCTGTGTGCTTCTATAAAAGATCTGAACCGGGGCTTACAAGATGATTTTTTTTTCTTTTTTGCAGTCCTAGTTGAAGGCCTCCACCAAATAAGACAAGCTTTTCTGAACTAGTCTGTCTTGGGTTCTGTAAGCCAAAAAAAGCAACCTTGTGGCATGCGAGCAGCAAGATTGCTTCCACACGCACATTCCAAAAATCTCCCCACTCTTCTGCTGCGTGGCTGACTCCCGTTCAGCTAGTTAAGAAGCAAATTGAGTTCTGTAAAAGACTAAGAGAGGGGCAACTCTTTTTTGCAAAATACAAAGCAATATGACTTTTTTTTTTTGTTTGCCACAAAGCCTTTAAACAATGACTTGCTGCTAATGTATTAAAACCAGATGCAGGGGCAGCATTTCCAGTATTGCTGTCTTCATTAAATGTCACCCAAAAATGCTGCCGTAAAATTGTAAGCAGCAAAAAATGTTGCTGACGACAATTTTTTTTTTTTTTTTTTTTAATACTCTGCATTATGCAGTCCCGTTCAAGCTAGATGCAACACTGTAGTTCATTCTTAATACTATCAGGTATAACTGGATTCCAATTTAAGGAGGATGTAATCCTGCAAGGTGCTGCACATGGGAATTACGGGTGCTCAGGCAGCAAGGGCTTGATTTTATGAGCTGCAGGTGCTGTTGTGAGAGGTACTTTTTGAGAGGCACCATTAGAAAAGGAAGTCTACTGGAGTTTGTGTATCGAGCACTGCATGTTATATAGGGGTTTGTCTACACTGGGGATTTGCTCCAATTAAAGCTACGAGCAGAGCTGCTCTGGTGCTGTGTTCCCTTTACGTACACCATGCAAAGCAGCTCTTTCAACCAGTGGAGCTAAGGCAGGAGAACACATTCCCTAGAACTTTTTTTTGTTGGAAAACTGCTTTTTTTTTTTTTTCTCCAGCTCTTCGTAGGTTTCCATGAGTTTAAGGCTCTTGAAGTGCCCAACATTGTGAATGTCAACTGGAAACTTTTTTTGCTTGTCCAAAAACAAACTAACAAAAATTCAGTGAGATTCCCCAGCAGTGCAAAACACTTCCGATTAAATTATTTGCTAATTTTATCACCAGGGTGGGCAGGCAGTATCCCTTTCCTAAGCAGCCCTAATATTGTGGTTTCAAGCAGGGATAAATTTCATCTGGCAGCTTTACATGGATGGCTGCTCCCTGCCCACCCAAGCAACTTCTCAATGTAGACAAAGCCTATTTCACAAAAAAAAAAAAATATTTGAACTGCTTAGTTTATGCTGAATATCTCACTCTCTTCTCCCCCTCCCCCTTTCCTCCCGTCCCTCTCCCTTTATCTAAAGTAATACTACCATGGTATTACAGTCACATAATCTGTACAGGGGGAAATGATTCTCAGTGTAAATCGGGCTATTTCACACCCATTTAATCTCTAATGGTTTTTTTTGTTTGTCTTGTGCTCACTGCAAAGTGATTTTCTTGGGGTTTGAGGGGTTTATCTAGAAGCATTTGCATGATTCTCATTGTGATTTGTTTGCACTTTAGACATGTTTGTGCCATTATAAATTTGCATTATGTATTTATAATTTAATGATACTTGGGGGGGGGGTTGGTTTTTTGGCTGATTACTGGAATAAACAGTGAGCATATCTGGTATATGTCATTATTTATTGTTTAAATTACATTTTTAAAGCGCCATGTGTTCATATAAAGGTTATTTGAAACATATCATGGTAATGAGAGATGCAAGTTATTTTCTTTGCTTATTTTTATAATTAAAGATGCATAACTTAATATGAGGCCTATGGTGGATTCCTTCTGAGACAAAATAAAATGTTTAAATTTAGTCTTTTCTAGTGTCTGATTTTTTTTTTCACTGAACCTCTGAGCTGATTGTGTTGGGGAAAGAACGCTTTCTAAGGTACTGCTGACTTGTGAAACACCTAGGCTGGCTTGCACGCCCTTTTAACCCTAAACCAAATTGAGGGTGGCAAAAAAAGAAGCCAACCAGGCCTTGTTTTCAGTAGGTTTGCAGCATTATAGGTATCCTGGTTCTGTGCCCTAAGGAGTCAAAAGCAGGGCAACCAAAAGGCGGGGGGGAGGGGTAAGAGACTGGCTCTGCAAGACCTGGAATGGAAGGCATAGCCCTGGGTCCTGGCCCCCAGAGCTGTCTGGAGCACGTGTGGGGCATCAGCTGCAATTTAAAATGCTGCGGCCACTGCCACTTGGTGCTGTAAGTGTTACCACAGCACCACTATGCCCCTGTAGTGGAAACACAGATATACTACAGCACCGGAAGGGCTTTTTCCATCAATGTGATAAATCCACCCCTTCAAGAGGCAACAGCTAGAGCAATGGAAGAATTAACTAAATTTGTCAGGAATGCTTTCCCACCATCCCCCTCTTCCTCTCCTCCCTCCCCCCACCCCACACACACAAAAACTCCTGAGCCACATAATTAGATTCGCCTAAGTTTTAGGTGTAGGCTTTAGTGCTTGTTAGAGTACGTCTACACAACATTATTTTGAAGTAACTTGGTCTGCATCTACACAGCAGGCAGTTATTTTGACATACTGTCAAGCTGCCAGCCACCCTACTCCGACTCCTGTCACCTTCTTTGTACAAGGAGTAAGGGAAGTCGGAGGAAGGGCTGTGTAGACGCTCCCAATTTCGAAATAAGCTACGCAATTGATGTCGCTCAACTGGCGTAGCTTATTTCGAGTAAAGCCCTGCTGTGTAAACACACCTTTAGTTCCTTTGAGCCCAAGTTGTATCTAGATTCTCAGAGTTCTCCCCACATTGGTATCTAGGCCAGAACAGACTGTTACCTGTATATCGACAGAAATAGGAAGGATGTCTTAAGGACAGCCTCCCGAAGGTTGATTTAATAACCTGACCAATCCGCAAGGGATGGTACTTAAGGTAACGACCCTCTACTCCGTATCTAATCACCGGAGAGTGTCAGATCTTAGCTTATAAGGCGCGTAAATAAAACGTAAGTCTGGTTTAAAACTGGAAACCACAGGACTATATTGTTTAACAGAAATTTTAACAGCAATACCTCTAATGAACACACAAGGGGGCAGTCCCCTCTTTACATTAAATGAACCAGGAGGGGAAGTCCCTCAAGGTCCCTATACCTACAACAGAGTCAGCGACGCTGAAGCCGATTGATGCGATGCTGGCGACCTACGACCTTTGGGCTAATTGAAAGCCTTCAGGGAGGAACTTCCAGGCGTCCCTTGTTGGGTGATCCTGTCGCTTGGCGACCTACAATCCTTTGGCTAATTGGAAGCCGCAGGAGAGGAACAGCCAAGGTGATCCCTCGAAGTGCCGGTTGAGTTCGGTGACGGTCGGTTCACCTTCCGTGAAGCCTCTGGTCTCCGGATCCTCTTCCTGCGCTTCGGTGCAGCAGGATCAGGCGATTGATGACTCTGTTCTATCTACTCTAATTCTATCCTAAAATAAAACCTTATCTAAATCGCGACGAGCCCGACGAACAAGCACGATGACGGCCGACATGCGTGGACCGACGCAACCTGCTGTACAAACTCGAGGACGATAGCTAATCTATCTAAAATACTAAACTAACTAACCTAACTAATCTATTTGAGGAGGTCTGGCCTTCCGCCAGCCTGACTCAAGAAAATACTATATTATATAAAATAGAGGTAGCATAGCCTTCCGCTAGCTTCTCTAGAAGAATATCTCTACAGGACCTCTTTCATACACCTAGGACAAGGATGACTCACTCTCTCTGTAACCTAAGCTAAGCCTATCCCTAAGCCCGACGCCCCGACGCTGCAGGCCCCAGCTAGGTCCGGGAACCAGCACGAACTGATGTTTGGTCACACCTT